CTGAAACTGTTCCAAAAAATAGAAATGGAAGGGAAACTTCCAAACTCATTTTATGAGGCCAGCATTACCTTGATCCCAAAACCAGACAAAGACCCCATCAAAAAGGAGAATTACAGACCAATATCCTTGACGAACATGGATGCAAAAATTCTCACCAAAATACTAGCCAATAGGATCCAACAGTACATTAAAAGGATTATTCACCATGACCAAGTGGGATTTATCCCTGGGCTGCAAGGCTGGTTCAACATCCGCAAATCAATCAACGTGATACAATACATTAACAAAAGAAAGAGCAAGAATCATATGATCTTCTCCATAGATGCAGAAAAAGCATTTGACAAAGTACAGCATCCTTTCTTGATCAAAACTCTTCAGAGTATAGGGATAGAGGGTACATACCTCAATATCTTAAAAGCCATCTATGAAAAACCTACAGCGAATATCATTCTCAATGGGGAAAAGCTGAGAGCTTTTCCCCTAAGGTCAGGAACACGGCAGGGATGTCCACTCTCACCACTGCTATTCAACATAGTATTAGAAGTCCTAGCCACAGCAATCAGACAACAAAAAGAGCATCCAAATCGGCAAAGAGGAAGTCAAACTCTCACTCTTTGCAGATGATATGATACTGTATATGGAAAACCCAAAAGACTCCACCCCCAAACTACTAGAACTCATACAGGAATTCAGTAAAGTAGCAGGCTATAAAATCAATGCACAGAAATCAGTGGCATTCCTATACACCAACAACAAGACAGAAGAGAGACAAATCGAGGAGTCGATCCCATTTACAATTGCACCCAAAACCATAAGATACCTAGGAATAAATTTAACCAAAGAGGCAAAGGATCTATACTCAGAAAACTATAAAATACTCATGAAAGAAATTGAAGAAGACACAAGGAAATGGAAAAACATTCCATGCTCGTGGATTGGAAGAACAAACATTGTGAAGATGTCAATGCTACCTAGAGCAATCTACACATTCAATGCAATCCCCATCAAAATACCATCCACCTTTTTCAAAGAAATGGAACAAATAATCCTAAAATTTGTATGGAACCAGAAGAGACCCCGAATAGCCAGAGGAATACTGAAAAAGAAAAGCAAAGCTGGCGGCATCACAATTCCGGACTTCCAGCTCTATTACAAAGCTGTCATCATCAAGACAGTATGGTACTGGCACAAAAACAGACACATCGATCAATGGAACAGAATCGAGAGCCCAGAAATGGACCCTCAACTCTATGGTCAACTAATCCTTGACAAAGCAGGAAAGAATGTCCAATGGAAAAAAGACAGTCTCTTTAACAAATGGTGTTGGGAAAATTGGACAGCCACATGCAGAAGAATGAAACTGGACCACTTCCTTACACCACCACAAAAATGGACTCCAAATGGTTGAAAGACCTAAACATGAGACAGGAGTCCATCAAAATCCTAAAGGAGAACACAGGCAGCAACCTCTTCAACCTCAGCCACAGCAACTTCTTCCTAGAAACATCGCCAAAGGCAAGGGAAGCCAGGGCAAAAATGAACTATTGGGATTTCATCAAGATAAAAAGCTTTTGCACAGCAAAAGAAACAGTCCACAAAACCAAAAGACAACCGACAGAATGGAAGAAAATATTTGCAAACGATATATCAGATAAAGGGCTAGTATCCAAAATCTATAAAGAAATCAAACTCAACACCCAAAGAACAAATAATCCAATCAAGAAATGGGCAGAAGACATGAACAGACATTTCTCCAAAGAAGACATCCAAATAGCCAACAGGCACATGAAAAAGTGCTCAACATCGCTCGGCATCAGGGAAATCCAAATCAAAACCTCAATGAGATACCACCTCACACCCGTCAGAATGGCTAAAATTAACAAGTCAGGGAATGACAGATGTTGGCGGGGATGTGGAGAAAGGGGAACCCTCCTACACTGTTGTTGGGAATGCAAACTGGTGCAACCACTCTGGAAAACAGTATGGAGGTTCCTCAAACAGTTGAAAATAGAGCTACCATACGATCCAGCAATTGCACTACTGGGTATTTACCCCAAAGATATAAATGTAGGGATCCGAAAGGGTACGTGCACCCCAATGTTTATAGCAGCAATGTCCACAATAGCCAAACCGTGGAAAGAGCCAAGATGTTCATCGACAAATGAATGGATAAAGAAGAAGTGGTATATATACACAATGGAATATTATGCAGCCATCAAAAGGAATGAGATCTTGCCATTTGCAACGACGTGGATGGAACTGGAGGGTGTTATGCTGAGTGAAATAAGTCAATCAGAGAAAGACATGCATTATATGACCTCACTGATATGAGGAATTCTTAATCTCAGGAAACAAACTGAGGATTGCTGGAGTGGCGGGGGGTGGGAGGGATTGGGTGGCTGGGTGATAGACATTGGGGAGGGTATGTGCTATGGTGAGCACTGTGAATTGTACAAGACTGATGAATCACGGATCTGTACTTCTGAAACAAATAATGCAATATATGTTAAGAAAAAAAGAAGAAGAAGAAGAAGAAGATAGCAGGAGGGGAAGAACGAAGGGGGGAAATCGGAGGGGGAGACGAACCATAAGAGATGATGGACCCTGAGAAACAAACTGAGGGTTCTAGAGGGGAGGGGGGTGGGGGGATGGGTTAGCCTGGTGATGGGTATTCAAGAGGGCACGTTCTGCGTGGAGCACTGGGTGTTATGCACAAACAATGAATCATGGAACACTACATCAAAAACTAATGATGTAATGTATGGTGATTAACATAACAATAAAAAATTATTTTACAAAACCTTCACCTTTGAGGAATCTAAGCCCCTGGTCACCAAGCCCTTCTTAGGACATGATTGTCATACTTGTCCATTTGCTGTCAAAACTGGACAGGGAAATACCAAGAGATACCCAGGTGACAGTCAGGCCCTTCGGGGCCCTCATCGTGTATCAGCACCCCTGCCCCTGCTGGTGATAAGGGTGCACTACACCTGACAGGGTGGCGACTTCCACCCTGGCCTTCCTGTTTGTTGATAATAAAGAGTAGGAAGTTTTTGACACAGAGATTAAAATTTGAAGATGAAAGAATCTGTAGTCTATTTTCTTTTTCTAATTTTATTTATTTTTTTATGTTATGTTAGTCATCATACAGTACTTCATTAGTTTTTGATGTAGTGTTCCATGAAAAACTTTTTTTCTCCCAATATAGAAAAGTTCAGTTATTCACTTAAAAGCTTTAAAATTTTAAATAATACATAATATGACAAAAATAATGAGTTAAAAAAAAAAAGGAGTAGAAATTGCCTAGGCAGTAGCCATCAGGGGAGCTCAACGAGGCGTTTGCTTTGTTTCCCGGGAGACACGCTCCCTCTCTCAAGAGTGCTACCTCGAGCCCCACGTAGGCTCAAGTCATGAGGATGGGAAGTAGGTTCCCCCAGTGGGTCGCTAAGAGTGATAGCAAGCAGGGCCACTTCTATGTCGCCTCAGTTCCTGTCTCCATATATTCCATCCATCGGAGACACGTACCACATAATGTCGTTAATTTAGGGTGCATACTGCATGTTAGAGAATGTGCTTTATTCCCGCTGGGGATCGGTTCTACTGGCACCTCAGCTATGTGTTCAGAAGGTTTTTTCCATTTCCTTATCAGGTCAACAATTTCTGGGTTGTATGACCTGTAATAGGACCAGTTGGTATCCTGGTCACATGCCCACTGTCACCCCTCCTTTACTGTAAGTGGGTGTCTAGGCCCAGTGCCATATTGTACAGGATACCATATGAGTCAGACTTTGCAAGCCCTCAGATACTCGTATTAGGTGACATCTCAGGGGCAAAAAAGTCAAACTCATGCCCAGAATACATGTCAATGCTTGTCAAGATGAATCCCTGTCCCTTTTGGGGTAGAAGAGATCCCATATAATCAACTTGCCACAAAGGGCTAGTTGGTCTCCTGGAGGGACAGGGGCTCAGTGTTGGAATCCTGTGCTGTCAGTGTAGACGTTCAGCAGCAGAAGTATCGAGTTCAACCTTAGTGAGGGACAACCCAAGCTGTTGGGCAGGCATAGTCTCTGTCTCTGCCACCTTGGCTACTCGGTGTATGCCCTCCATGGGGCTGGCATGGAAAATGAGGTCAAGAGAGGGAGCTGATAAGAAAGGACCAACTGGCCGAGTGATTCTGTCAACCGCATTAAGTGCTTCTTCCATGACGGGCACTCCCTAATGGGCTTTAATATGTGATACAAAGATCACCCTTCACGCCTGCTTCCATTGGGCCCGCCCACACATCTCTTCCCCAGAGCTCCTTGTCCCTCATTTCCAGTATTTCTCCTGCCAGGTGCATGACCAAGCAGCCAAGCCATTCGCCATTCCCCAAGAGTCGTCCATATTCTTACTTCAGGCCGCTCCTCTTTCCACACAGAGTGAGTCACCTGGTGGCCCGCCCACTGGGAGCACTGCTCTTGGCTGCTGTCTTTCAGGCCTCCTCCTGGATGGCACTGTAATTCAGGTGCCATCCAGGTTTGGCTCGCACACACCTACCAGGCTAACCCATCCATGAACCGAGCTCAGCTCTTTCCTCCTCTGTCACTGGTCCTAAGGGAACCTGCTGGCCCCCTGCAGCCACAAGTGTGAGCAGGGGGAAGGTCACCCATGAAACAACAGCAGACATGAGAGTCTGAGCCACCTGCTCAAGCAGCTTGCTCATGTCCTCTGGCACTACCCATGCCCACCCACAGATGTCCCACTCCCATCTCATTTTGGATTGCTGTTGGCCTCTCCAGTGTTTGCCTTGGTGGGCCAGACAGAACCCAGCTCCTGATGGCCAGTCTCTGTCTCCACCAGTAACATGCCAAGAGCTATTTTTTCGATGGTGGAGATGGCATGGTCTTATTCTAGAACCCTAGAGGTCTGTATTGTGACTCTCCTATTAAGAGAATGACAACGGTTCCTTTCATAAATTCCTCTGACATCATAAAGACACCAGGTCATACAGCCCAGAAAACAGGGATCTTGCATCTTGGGACCTTCTGCAGAGTCTTCTCATGTCTGGGCTCTACCGAAAGCTGAATGCCTTCTAGGTCATCAGGTAAATGGATCGGAGCTATATCCCCAAGTATGAAACATACTGCCTCCAGAACCCAGAGAGGCTTAGTAGGTGTTGTGCTTACTTCTCAGGAGTAGAGAATGAGAGATGTAATAATCTGTCCTTTACTTTGAAGAGAATCTCCCAGCCGTGTGCCAGACCACTGGACCCCTAAAAGTGTTTCAGATATGGTGGGCTCTTAAATATTTGCAGGATTTATCTCCCACTGGCTATAGTCTATGCATCTTACTAATGCCTCCAATATACTTGCCACTTCTTGTTAATCCCAGGTAAGATTATTAAAATAGTGTTAATATCCAGATGGTCCAGGTTCCTTTAGACTTTATTATGACAGAGGGCAGAAGAGGTCATGCAGCCCTGGGCTAAGACGTAAATGTATACTATTGTCCATCTCAGGTGAATGTGAACCGCTTCCCCGATAGGTATGGAAAAAAATGCATTTGCCACATCAACGGCTACATACCCCATACCTGAGGCCATTCTAATCTGTCTAGCACAAATGCCACTTCTGGCAAAATAATTGCAACTGGGACTCCCACTTGGTTGGGTTTTCAGGAGTTCCCTGTCATCCACCAGGACACACGTGGGTTTTGTAGAGGCCAAAGTGGTGGGTTAAATGAGGACATGATGGAGATAACCACCCGGGCAATATTTATGTCTTCAAGAATGACACTAATTTATGACATTTCCTCCTTTCAGGAAGCAATATTGGTTTTTATTTACTGTTTGGCCAGAAGGGGAGGGAAGATTCAGGGACCACCTGGTCATTCCTATTCCAGTAGCTCTTACCAAACATGCTAAGGAACCAATGCTGTGGTTCTGCCAATGACTGAGTCTATTCCAATTACACCTTCATGGCTCAGGGAAATACCCACTGGGTGACTCTGAGGACCCAGTGAACCCACTGTGAACCAAAGGGACTATACTGAAGCTTCAGCTTCCTGGGTGTCAATTTTCACACAGATCCTGTGTCCAAAAGTCCTTGACAAGTCTGAATATTCCCTTCTCCCCAGTGAATGATTACCCAGGTAAATGGCCATATGTACCTTTGAGGAAAAACTGAAGAAATGATTGCCATTATATATTTGCTATGGCAATAGAGGGCCCTTTCTTCTGGAGACCTGGCCTCTCCTTCAGTTGATGGGTCCCTGGTCTAAATACTGACTCAGGTCTAGAAACTAGGCAAGAAATAACTTTTTATTGGGGGCAACTGCCCTCAGCTTCCTGAGCATTCATCCATAATTTCTTTTGGTTGTATAGATCAAGGAATACCCATATTAGCTGCCCATCTTTTGTGCCCCTAAGGACTATGTTCTATTAACTATGTTCGTCATTCTCTGCAGGCCAGGCCCCCCTGGCTACTACTTTGTCCTCACTACTCATAATAATTGTGCCTACCTTGCTTCTAATGATTAAGTGATGCCAGGTGGCCTGTCTTATTTGGGGATCCTACCATCCCTACTGCTCTCAGGGAGTGAGATTCTGTAAGAGGATCTCCCATGGTCAGCCCTAGCCTACAGAGGACAGCCCCCGCTGAGTTTCTCAACAATGCTGCTGATGAGGATATAGTCCTTGTCATTTTCATCAAGGAGGGTTGGGTTGGGGGAGGGGGTCCCTTGGCCTTCTTAGAGAACAGTCAGTGGTGGGTTTTCTAGCCTTACACAGTCAATTTGCTCCAGCATGCTCACTTCTTTAGCCTTTCCATCCATTTGTCCACTGTCTACCATAGCAGTTCTGGAACTTCTACTTTGCTGCGTATAAGGTCTTCACTTTCTCCAAGCTTCCAGGAGTCCCCCAGGCAGCATGCTAGCACCGTCCTCCAGGGTCCTCATCCTGTGGTGAGATCCTGAACAAGAAAATAGTGCTTCCATAGCAAACCTCTCTAACACCTGAGATACTACACCTGAGAACATTTCCTTCCATCAATATCCCATCTCATCTCACAGCCGGGGAGAGGTTTAACAACTGAACTGTGGCCACGCACCAGGGTCAATTAGCGCATCCCCCACCAGAGAGGGGGTCCTGCTTACCAGCTGGCTGGCCGGTGATCCAGCTTCCAGTTCCTATTTTAATGTGTGCTTCCTTGCAGCCCTTCCCATACCAAGTGTTGTATGCGGAAACAGACTTTGAGGTGGAGATTTGCCTGCAGGTGATTTACTAAGAAGTGTCCTTGGAAAAAAAAATAATAAAAAAAAGAAGTGTCCCTGGGAGGGTGTGAGGAAGGAAGATGAGGCAGAACTTGATGTTCCTTCAGCAGCAATGCAGCTGCACTGGGCCTTAGCCCAACCCCCCAAGAGCTCAGGAGCAGAGATGGCCATCAGAGATGTCCCACGTTGAGGCAAGAGGACCAGATCTTTATATACCACCTTGCCCAGTCCCTGGACGTGGGCCGCCTGTGGAGAGGGGACACGACCTCAGGGGGGCCACTCCATTTCAGGGCAGTGCCTGCACAGGGACACACAGAAGCACCATCAGTAGCAATGCCTCCAGCAGCTGGGGAATCCGTGCCTTTGTCCACAAGGGCCATCTGACCACTTGACGATGACATTTCACCAGAGCCCCCAAACTGGCACAATTATGGGCATCTCTGAAACCTCTTTATAAAAATTTGACCTGCACCCCCATGCCTCAGTGTGTGACAGTTGGACAAGGAGAGGTCTGGTCACTGTCTTCACTCCTGCAGCCATCACCCTCGTGGATATGACAGTCACAGGAAAGAAGGGGCAGGGTCGGGGGGGGGGGAACAGAGGGTACGTTTCTCTTTCATCTTTGGTTGGAAGATCTGTTCTTGGAAATGATGCCATATTACTGGTTCTCAACCTCAAATCACAACTTAAAGCAGAGTGGCCAAGTATTTACCAAAACTTCGCAAAGCGTTCTTAGACTATTGGCCCATTTGCCCAACTGCCCACTGGACGTGGGGCAGGGCAGGAAATGAGCAGAACTGCTGGAGAGAAGAGTTGTTCAGTGAGAAAGTCACCCTTGCAGACACACACACACATTCACACACACACACACAAATGCTATTCTACACTCACACCCAACAACAGGAGGGGAGGGCATCCCCTGGCAATAGAGAAGGAATTATATTTGTGGAATATCTTTTCTATAACACCAGCACACCAGGTGCCTTAAATACACTAGTTCAGTCAAACCTCCAAACTCTGTAAAGAAGGCCTTACCTTTCAGAGGCGGAGAACACTAGGGCTCAGGGTAGTTAAGGACCTGTCCAAGGTAATGCAGCTGGTAAGCAGAAGAGCCTACATTTGAGGGCAGGTCCATCTTACTCTGAAGCCCATGCTCTGTCTTCAAGCCAAGTTCCCCCAAAGATGTCCACTCTTGCAGAGATAACCTCCGCTGCCTCATCTTCTCCCCTGTCTCCCAGAAGGCCACGCTGGGCCACGTGTGGTGTGCTATGGGCAAAATGTCCTCGTCCCCTAAAATGCACTTATATTTGCAATAAGAAAAGACTGGGAGTACCACAGGGCCCCAAATAGCCACTATAGTAACTAAAGCATAATATCCAGCGTTTTCTAGTCTTACAAACTAGAACACGCAAGTACTCAGAACTGGAAGTGTCCTCACTCTGTGATCTAGAATGGTTTTCCGGGTAACAGGGGAGTCTGCTTCTTTAAGAAACGTAATTTTTCTGTTAAGCTTTATGCAGTGTCCACACATACTTTCCTACCTCCTTAAATAGGGGTGATAAATTATAGAGCATTGATTAATGTTTATTATATAATAATGATTCCCAGGGTTCCTTGAGCTAAATGACCCAGACTGTTTGCTTTTGGAGTTCACACGTGTCAGCTTCTTATAGTTCCTCTGTCTCCTCCCGTGATGGTGGTCACCTCTGACTGGTGTGACTGTTCTAGATCAACCTTTGCTTCGCTGCTTCTACATAGAGCAGGCCTGGAAACTGAATAACCAGGCTTGCAGGAATTGCGTGTGAGATAACACTAACTAGATTCTAAGGGAGCGACTGAGAGTCTATTCTCTGAGAAATCTATGAAAAGTTAGTGCATTTATTCATTTCACAGTGAGGCCTCCAGCACTTGCTATGGACCACCATGGGCTGGGGACACAGCAGGAAGCAAAAGAAAGAAAAATCACTTCCTTCGTGAAGTTTACATTCTACTGGGACCAAGGACATTGGCTGCATCTATTCTAAATATGCACAGGCCACTTTTGCCCCTTTGCCAGCTCTGTCCTGTGTCCCACGTGGATGGGACTGAGAGACAGCTGCGTGGCCCGCAGGTGAGGTCTCACTGTCCCGTCGGCGGCATGCACACAAAATCTGCAGCACTGATGGGGCACAAAGCTAACAGAGAACCGTTAGTTCCAGAATTCCAACACATTGTGGATTAAAAAGGCTTTTGTGGGCTGGTCTGGGAACCTAGCCACCACCCATACCTCTGTTTCTATAGGAAAATACATTCCGAGTTCCAGACAGCTGACTTTCAGATGAACTTTTGGAACAGAACTCATTTGTAAGTCTGGGACTGCCTGTACTTCTCCATAAATACTCCAAATAACCAGGCCATATTTGACCTAAGGGTTAGAAATGAGAATGTCTGGATACCACCCAGCATCCCCATTAACTAGCTCAGATGCCCCGGGGCAAGTACCAAATCTCTCTGAATTCTGACCCATATATATTGGGTTTCATGAAGATTTTATTGAAGAGGCAGGGGTTCTGCTTTAAAAAAAAAAAAGTTTGAAAAGCACTATGTAAAAGAATCAATAAATATTCTTGCAATGAATGAATAAATAAGCGAATGAAATGAGTGAAAGAAAAGTTCATTCACATTCCCAATACACCTTGAGCAATGTCCCCAAATGAAGAACATTTCCTTAAGAACTGTTTTCTCTTTTTGTCCTTTTATGGTGGCTTCTGACCCAAAGTCCAAATGTTTGTGAAAGAAACAGAATGGTTGTCCTCACTCCTGGGGATCCCAACTGAGACTGTGGGCTTCAGCAGGACCCAAAGGAGACAGTTATGTATGGGAGGTCATCTGATGCATTATGAGGGCCCAGAACAGTTGGCAATCTCCAAGGGGTGTGCACTTTTTGGTGAAAGAGGAAGAAAATGTGGGATGTGAGAAGAAAATCAAACCAAGAACGAGCCTCGAAAATAACCATTCCCCTCCTCCCCCACCCTACCTGCCTCCAGGGCCGGGACCAGGTACAGTTCCACCTGCCTTCCCCTGACAGGCAGGGCAGTGCTGGGAAGGGTGGGACGGGTGGCCAGCCTGTGCATTTCTAGACCAGGCAGCTGTTAAAGCCCCCAACCTGGGATTCCAAGGTCACGTTCAGCCCGGATGGTCTTTCTCCCACCTTCCCTCTTCTTCAGGCCCCCACCGCTCGCCTTACCTGCTCTTCTCCAAAGAAAAATGGCTTCGGGCGAAGGCAGGAACACCAGGCCTTTCTTCGTGCAAACAACACTAATGGGGAACTCCGCGAAGAAAGTGCAGGAGACCAGAGGAGCTGTCACCACACGTGCCAGGAGGGGAGATTTATGCTGATGACCAGGATGTGGACATACCAATGAATTATCCTTTTGTGCCAAGGTAAATTGGACAAGGGAAAAAAATGTGTGTCAAGGAGGCGGAGCCTGGGCTTGGCTATAAGCCTCCCAGCACCTGGGGAAGAGATCCTCCCCTACATTCTCGTAATTGCAAAACTATCCAGAGCCGGTGATTCTCACAGCTCCCCTGCACAAGAATAACTAGCAGGGGGTGAGGACTTTGTAAGCCCAGCATCTTACTTGCATCAACTCATTTAACCCTCTAAAACCCTATGAGGTCGGGACTATGACTCTGCCCCTGTCAGAGATGAGTACACTGTGGCACAAGGAGGTTAAGTAACTTGTCCGAGATCCCACACCTAGGAAGTGACTAAGCAAAGATAGGAGCCTAAGTAATTGGACTCGAGAGCACGCACCCTTCCCTGCCAAACCACTTGTACTATAACTGCAGAAAGTCCACGGGAAACCTCAAAGCGAGGGATGGTGGTACATCCCCTCTCTCCTTAAGGAAAGACACTTCCAAGCTCCCCTACATGGCCTATGCCAGCATTCAAGGACAAAGACAGCAAGGACTACAAGAGAAACTCAAAATCTTCTATGGGTGCTTTAAAAAAAATAAAAGATTTTTTTATTTGAGAGGAGGGGAGGGGCAGAGGGAAAGAGAGAGGGAGAATCTCAAACAGACTCCCCGCTGAGCATGGAGCCCGATGTGGGGCTCAATCCCACGACCCTGAGATCATGACCTGAGCTGAAATCAAGAGTCAGACACTTAACTGAATGAGCCACCCAGGCGCCCCTCTCCAATAGGTTCTTAGCAGCCCGTAGGAAAAGACCAGAAACAGAGGAACCCAGGGATTCTGGATGCTTTTTATTTGTAAACTTTTCGGGGGTTAACCACTATAAAAATTGTGGTACATTTTCCTCCATCTTTCTCTATGCATTTACAAATGTATCCATAGATCCACAGAGCTATGTATACTCTGTAAGGACTGAAGGGTAACAGACCATGTCCAGCCCATGTCTCAGCTCTTCTTCAAGGAGAGGAGGAGGCAAGGACATGAGAATGAGCATCAGAAGCCAGGGCTCCGGTCTCAGAGTTGAGTCTAACTACACGGACCCCAGCAGCCCTCCCAGCAGCAATATCCCGCGAACCAGATTGCCATAGTCGTCGAACTTCGCCGCAGGCCCCGGATGTGAGCGCGGCTGGCTTTAGCGACAGAACGCCTTTCCAGCCTCTTTGCTACCCTGTGGGTTCTACAGGTGCCCCCACTGCTGGGACCCCACCATGCCCCTCCCAGGCCAGGCCCTGGTGTGAAGAGCATTCTTTTCTTCTTCGTTTTAACAGCTTTATCGTGATACAACTCATATACCATACTTTTCATCCCTTTAAAGTATAAATATGGTTTTAGTATATGTGCAGATATATGTCTCCATCATCCCACAGTCTATTTTAGAACATTTCCATCATCTTGACAAGAAACCCCGTGTCCGTGAGCTACAACCCAAACCCTCCTGCCTCTCCCTCTCCCCCGACTCCCGCCTCTCTCTCCACCATTTGCTTTGACTTGGACCTTTCAGGTGGATGGAAATCCTGATCCAGAAAAGAAATGCTCTTCTTCATGTGAATCTCAGCATCTTTTCCACCCAGAGAGAGGAAGTGACTAAAAAGTCATCCTTTGTAAGGGACCCAAGAAGCTGGTCAGATGAGAAGACAGAGCAGTTGCCACATCCCTGTGCAGACCTTCTAGACAAGCAGACAGACCCGGCCTTGGGGAGCAGACGGGGGAAGCCGGGGGCTGATAACCCCGGCCCCCCACTTTCTTCCCCTTCAAACTACCAGCTCCCCTCCAAGCAAGGCCTTCCGTACTTCTTACACACAACTCAAGCAAGACTTTTTAGCTTTTTCCTCTCAAAGCTCTGTATCGTTTGCACAGCACGAAATTCTGTGAGAAAGAAAAACCTGGAGTAGTTAAAACCGGGTTCTCAACTGGTTTGGGGGGGCCCTGAGAGTGGCTGGAGGGAAGACGCGACCATCCAACAAGCCAAGTGTGAGAGGCGAGGTCAGGCTGTGAAGGAGCCATGGGGTCTGCTCCTGGGTCCCAGAGAGAGCCCTCCCTCCCCCCCACCCAGGAAACCCCCTTCTTCTTCCGTCCCCGAAGGGCACCGCAGTACAGGGACTGGCCCCAGGCAGCGTGAGCCTTGGAACGGCACAGAAAGAACTCTGAACCCCCCTCTCACCTCTTCCCCGCAGGCCTCGGCAGCTTGCAAGTGACCCCGACTTCTGCACACGTGTGCTCATGTGTTATTACAAAGATATTGTCCACTACTCAAGATTGCTGCATTTCTGCTGTGCCCAATTATATAAGTATGAACTCTTTCTGCTGGGTGAGAAATAACTCTTTCTGTACCATGAGGGAGATCACCACCCCAGTCACCCCAGTCATGGCCCAGCGGCCCCCAGGGTCTCCCAGGAATGGAGCTTCTCTGTCTGGCTAACCATGTTATATGTTCCCATATTTTCACAATGACTTTGGTGTAAGAAGCAGGGACGCTACTGGGCCTTTCTGGGTCCATCCTGCTTTGCACGTGGAACCCGACAGGATGGAGTCCCCGGGAACATGATGTGGCCCCCGGTGCCCATGACCCTCGCAGACCCGACACGCCCTGTGCTCTGGCAGTCTGACTTACGAGCATCAGCCTCCAGATCTCAGGAAGGGAAGGTGTGGTAGCGTCTTGAGCGGATGGTGGGGTTCTCCAAAGCTTCTTGAAAGGAATGGAGGGTCAGGCGTGAGAGGGTTGAGAGGGACAAGGGGAACTGGAGAGCCGTGGGAGGGGTCCTAGGCGGGAGCTGTGTTGTGGGTGACCCTCAGGAGAGGCGGGATTCATGGTGATTTCCTGCCAAAAGCCCGACTCCAGCCGTAGACAGCTCACATGCTAGATATCAAAGGGTTCTCGATAACAAACGGACCTCCTGCCGAGGCTCAGAGAGGCAAGGCAGCTTTGGAACTCCAACGGTGTGGGGGGCAAGGAAAGAGACAGAGAGTGGGTGTCGGTGTAAAGTTTACTCACAGGGCGGCCGGGCCCTGGTCGCTGGGATGCCCCCAGCGCCTCGCGGAGCAAGCTCCAGGCTCCCCGCCCCTTCCGCCCCGCCCCCGCCCCAGGAATGGAGGGCCGCTGGTCACACGCTGGCGGTGCTGATTCTACGGGAACCTGTGAAATGCTAGCTTGACATAGGGGGGTACCTCTCCCCCTTTTTTGTCTTTTCCCACTCCTTTTCAGAAACAGGACCTGGGCCTCCACGCCTCTGTTACACATATTGGTTCTGACAGCTCAAATTAATATGTCAGATGCTATGATCCTCGCTGGCGACAGGCCTTTTGACCCTATCAGCGCAATCTGCCTCCCTGATTGAAAATCTCTGCGCCTCAAATTGATTCAGAGTTTTATAAACATCCTGCAGCCACGATCCAAGGAAGCCACCGATGAAAAACCTGAGACAGCTTAATTTGCCCTGCTCCGGCCCGAGCCCCTCAAACCAGCAGGGTGGGACAAGCAACAAGGTTAAAAGGAAGGCCTTAGACCAGGCAACATTGTAAGCTAAGAGTCCCAGGGACACCACCCCCCCACCCCCCCCGCCCCCCCACCCCCGCCCCCCACCGAGCTACCCACCCTTGCCCCGCCTGCCTCCTAAAGTGCAGCTGGAATGATACAGTAAGAGGGAACCGGATTAGGCATCAGAAGGCCTGGGTTGTCTGGCTCTGGTATTCACTAGCTGTGTGACCTTGGAAAACTTTCTTAACTTCTCTGAGCCTTGGTTTTCTCTTTGTAAAATGAACAATAACCACTCTGCTGTAAGGATGTGTAATAACAGGACTGCTGTAAGGATGGGGTGAGGTGATGCTTTTCTAAAGCACTGATGAAAAGCAGGGAATTGTGACTGGTTTTTTTAATACCCCAGGGAGAAGGAGGAAACGAAATTGGCAAAATGTTGATAATTGCAGATGCTGGGAGATAAGTACTAGGGAAGGATCCACTCTGCTTTTCTATCTAACTCTGTGTATGTTTGAAAATTTCCAAACCAAATCCTTTTAAACAATATACACGGAGCCATAAAGTACGTAAGTTTTAGAAGTGTGTGTGTGTTTGTGTTTGTGTGTGTGTGCGTGTGCGCACACACGCACACGTGCACACAGAGAGACAAGAAATCATTCCCCAGTGAACCCTTCCCTTATCACACATTTAGGGGTCTTGAGAACCACCCATCAGAATGGAGTCAACTAAAAATGGTGATGAGATGAATTTGGATCAATGCAGACAGGTGTTTGTGATACACTGTTGGTTTAAAAAAAAAAAAATAGGTCATACAACATACCAAGAAGGGACAATTCCCTGAAAAGGGATCCCAGTGGGAAGGGGCAGAGCTCTGTGCACAGGGATTCCCTGTCCGTGAGGATTCTTCCATGCAGAGCCCACCTGATGTCCTCCGTGTGCACCCAGCACCCTCGGGGGTCTCCAGCAATCCCTGGGTGCTCACGATGATCGTCTGTCCGCTTCCCTGCCCACTCTGGCACAGCTCTGGAGCCCTCGGAGTGCAGGCACTGCGGTGTGTGGTGGAGACCTTGGTCACCAGCAGCCGACACATCACATGGCCCATTGCTGACGAAATCTTCAGGTTCACTCCTCACAACCACTCAGGCACTCTGCTGGTTTCTCAACGCCGGGACCGCCCTGCTCCCGCTTCCAGCACCTTCTATCCTGCTGCTGCTTTCCCTGCAGCATGGCCTTCTAGGCACAGTGACCCCCTGGGGACGTCAGTCCCATGACAGGAGCACACTAAGGGTGCTCAAAGGCCGCGGGGAGGGCTCCGGGCTCCTGCTTTTGCCTAGCAGGCCCAGCTGATTCTGAAAGGCACATATACTCTGGCCCAGCCTGGCTGCCATCAGCAGGAGCGCGCCCTTGGCTTGTCAGCCTCTCAGTGGCTTCGGCAGCAGCAACAGAATGGCCCTCCCCCTGACAACAGCCGCCCCCTTCTCTGTTGATACTGCAAGGGAAGGAATGCAGAATTTTCTCCAAACTTCTCCAGGGCCTCAGGGAAACTCCTGCGGGCCCTCCTTCACCCCCACGGAGAGGTGATTCTTCATCCCTTCTACTCACACCTCCTGTGGCTGTCCCACCGGGTCGTGCTTGAGAGGGAGACAGCGAAGGCAGGAGAGAAAGAGAAAGGCAAGTCTGTCACTTTTGGTGACCCTAGAGACACCAACCAAAGGCACACCCACAGCAGGGCCCCAACCTTCACCAGAACCCATCTTAAACCACAGGGAAGTTCTCACCAACCTTAGTTCCTCATGGTGGAGGCTGATGGTCAAGAATGTCATGGCTCAGCAGCCCGGTGGACCACTCCCTCCCCCTGGTCACCTCCCTGGGGCCTCAGAGAAATAATGAAGACAGGCACCTCCCTTACTTCCTGACCCTCTGCTTCCCAAGCTGTCACAGACCAAAATGCCTTCCAGCTGGTCTCCTCGAAGATACATGAAGCTACTCACGGCAAGATGTCTCCAAGTAGACAATGACAAATCAATTCAACATTCGTGTCTTCCATCCCATCTGGCTGGAGTGTTCTCGTTCCGCAGCCCAGCCTACCTGGTCCCAGGTGTGTCAGGTCTAGGGAAACACATGGCCCGGGGCTCAGATGCTGGCTCCCCCACTCACCGGCTGTGTGACCTGAGGCAAGTTACTTAATTTTTCTGTGCCTCAGCGTCCTCTTCTATAAACCGGGAATAGTGATAGTATTTACTTCCTAGGGATGTTCAGAGGATCCTAGCAGTGTCTGACACACAGTATATGCTCTGCGAATCAGTCCTCTTCATCATCATCACCATCATCATCATCACTATTAAGTGTTTGTTGGGAACCCTTGCTTCTGGCTTTCTTGAAATGGATCATTTTTTTTTCTCTACTTCCAAATCAAGCTTCCCCACCTCTTCATTGACCAAGAAGTCAGTTCTCAAAGTCCAAATTATTTCTCAAAACTAAAATATGACTTCTCTTTCTCAAGTTCGCTCCCCTCCCACGGGCCAGCCTCACTCATTCATGGTGTTTTATGACTCTCAAGACATTGGATTTTCTCCTGCAAAGGCAACAAGATATCCTTTGTTCATCTGTGAGTTTGTATTAATAATCGTTGCCGGTTTTCAAAGCTCTTTCACTTACACCATGCCATTAATCCTTTATGGAGGCCCCGGAAATGGGAAGCAATTGGCCCGGGGCCCTTTCCTTCCTGGTTGACAGCTTGTGAGGGGCAGGGCTGCAGCTGGACCCCTGCCCTAGGGACTCCAGTTCCATGTGCTCCAAACCTCACCTGCCTCCACGGAGACACAGGGGTCCGCAGGCCTGAGAACAAACCCTCCCACACATGTAGGGGTCCTTCAAACTGCCTGCCAGAAGAGTCCTAACTAAAAATGGTGGTGGAGATGAATCTGGGTCAATGCGAGAAGATGTCTGTGACACATTGGTGATTTTCAAAATCAGTTCGGAAACATTATGCACAATAGGACTTGATTTTCGTGAAGAAACAAACACACAAAGAAGCTGCAAGGATGTACACATTCAGTGTTGACAGTGGTAGAGATGGCAGAAAATAAGATCATTTTCTAATTTTTCCACAAAAATGCATTATTGCATTTATAATTTAGACAAATTAAGACTCGGGGAAATGGACACAGATGCGCGAATGCTTTACTGTCCCCCTGAGATGCCCCAAGGTTGGAGCTTTCCCCTCACTGAGGAGAGATGGCCCCGCAGGAGGAGCCTCACCCCCCCCGACGGGCTCTCTGCCAGATCCCGCCAACATTTCCCCCATTTCCAGGAAAAACCTGGTTGCTCGAAGAGCAACACCAGGGATGGGCAGCAACATCCCCAGAGGGGAGAGCAAGTGCCATCACCTCCATCACCATCACTAACCCAGGCAAAGCACTACACGTTTTCTCACGTCATCTGCCCCACAGCCTGTGAGGTAAGTCGGCATCGCCTCTCCATGCCACAGATGAGGAAACTGAGACCGAGAGAAGTGAAGGAGTCTGCATGAGATCCCACAACGGGAAGGACCAGCCATCCATAGAGCCCAGGATTCCTGGCACTGAGTCTGCCTCACTCATACCAGATCCATTGACGCATTGGGTGGCCCAGGCTCTTGTGGCAGGGATTTGAGAAGCCATACTAGACCTCCTGTTACCCAAAACCTTCTCCCTTGGGGCCTGCCCGGGAGCTTCGCAGCCCCTACCCGACCTCGGAACTTCCTGCCTGCAGCCACCCCTGAGCCAGGTGACCGCAGAAGAGCCCGGGTGTATT